TATATAATATATATATATATATATATATATATAATATATATATATATATATATATATATATATATATATATATATATATATATATAAAATAAACAATAATATTCATTGTTATAATAATAACATACACATTGTGCGCATGTATATATACACATACATACATACATACATTTACATACACACACTTATTGTTATTATTAATATATATTATTAGAAAGTTATTAGAAATGTATTATTGTTTAAAAAAAACATTAATATTGTTATAAATATACACACAAGGCTGTCCTAAGACAAGAACGCATTTTGGTTTTAGGTTTTAGGACAACTTTTATGAAAGGTTTTGATCCACTTCAAATGTTGACTACTCTGTTGACTATATACATATACATACACACACAAATGTTGACTATATACATATACATACACACACAAATGTTGACTATATACATATACATACACACACAAATGTTGACTATATACATATACATACACACACACTGAAAAGTCCTTGTTACTGAAATCAAAGCTTTTATTGACACCAGGCCGAGCGAACGCCAGATCCTGGAATGTGCCTACCTATGACATAATAGATAGGTTAAAACCGCCGCCAGAGAAGAATATCATCTAATTCTGTAGCCCCGCCCACTGATTCACACATGGCATCGTAGTGAAATAACATAAGTGGTGCTAAACCGAATCGAGCAACCAAGAAATAAACATGCCGTTGAAGATTGCAAAATATTGTGCAGTGCCTGGTTGTGGAATAACACAGTCACAGCATAACCTTCCTTCGGATTCAAATATTAGGAATGCGTGGTTGAACTTTATTTTTAATGAAGTTTCAGCTCACGTGTGTAATACATTGAGTGTTCACTTTATTTCGTCACGGATTCCTTTGTAAACAAGACACAGGTCGACGATGGATTCGCAGAGAGACTGAGATTAAAAAGCAATGGCGCAGCACACTTATGTGAGTAAAAAATATTTGTACTATGTATCACTATTACTTTGTTAGAGATCGCTTGATATGTCCTAATTTTATGTGTACATGTCTAATCAAAGTCAACTCCAACTATGAAGGACGTAGCTTGTCAAACAGACACACAGAAAGTTAGTTTATTATGCAAAACTGTTATCCAATCATAGCAGTGGGCGTTTACTTCAAAGTCTTCAATGCAGCACGTCCATAAAAACCCAAGCGTTTCTCGAGCCGGCCTCAAAACCAGGGTAGAAAATAGCCTATTACTTATTGTTTTTTTTAATGTTTTTGAATGTAAAAACCACGCAAACGTCGTAAGTGGACCTCAGATAACAGTATAATATAATTTAAAAAAAGCCAGTCCATGACCCCTTTAATAATAATATAATTACAATTCTTATTTAATTTAACTTAGAATACAATATAAATTGTAATCATAAATAAACAAATAAACAATAAAATGCAATAATTATAAATATACTTGTTTCCCACTTAACATTGAAAATAATTGATAAAACTGATCAAGAACAGTCAAAATGGAATAAAACTGGTGTGATTAAAAACTGGATATTTTACCCAATGTTTATGTGCACAATGTATTTTTTTTGTACCTATTAGATTATCAAGCTATTAGATTAGCAACATGCTAACATCAAACTCTGTTGTAGCCCTTGGTATGGAACACGGACTTGCTGTCTATGTAACGGTACCAAATTATCCATTTACAAAGTTCCATGATGGTTAGGATGCTAAAAACACCTACCTATGTCAACCTATGTTCCTCTCCTCTGAAACTATGACATCAGTTTGAAAAGCAAATATATAGACTGAAAGGAAGATGTAGGAAAACACAACAGGATATAAAAGTAAGGGTTTAGTGAGAAGTAGACCTGATGATGTCCTTATGACCGTTGCGGGCAGCAAGATGCAGGGGGGTGTTATCCCTGCCGTTCCCCTCTAAGAGAGCTACCACCATGTTACTGCTCAACAACAGCTGGGTCACCTGGAGGGAAGAATTAAGAAACAGTGAGGAAGCGATCCAAAACTAGAGCACCTTCAGCCAGAAAGTGCTCCAGTTTTGCCTACTAATGCCTAAACAAGATGTCACTGCCAATTTAAAATACAAGAACGCAACCGGCCTGAGTTGTCAGCCCAGGCATATGACTTTGTACTCCCTGGCATTGAGAATCTGTCAAATGGAATTCAGTTTCCATCTGGGGCAGAATCCTCCAGCAGCCCAGCAACTGACTCGCTGGTGTGCTGCTAAATTAGACTCATTCCATCAGCCCGACTCTCTGCAGCATTTGCATTCTATAATTCCAAATGACTTGTGCGAAAGATTAAATAGAAATAGTTCACCCTGGCAAATTTAGTTTAAGGTTAATTAAAGATCTCTCAACAAAACCGTCATCAGGAAAGCCATCTTTTAAAGCCTTTCATCTCCATTTGTCCATCTTGTGGCTTGTGCAGGCAGTTTGTATGAGCTTACTGATATCCTTTGCCACTGAACGTGTTAATACAGTCTATGCCAAAAAAAAACTAATCTTGTTCAAGCTCTGCTATGTCATGAAATCCTGCTTATAATTATAATAGAGTTTGGAAATATATTATGTACTACTGAATGAGATTGCATTGAGACTGGGATAACTCAGATAGATGTTATAAAGGGCACAGCTATTTTAAATCAGATAAGCCCTAACTATATTGATGCAAAAATACCAATAGCTGAACAATTCCACTGCACCCATGTCATCTCATATCTAGGGCTGGGTATCGTTCAAAAAAATGTCGATATTAATACCGATACCTTGACTTCGATACTGGTTCCTGAACGATACTTTATTCAATACCAATTTTATGAAATCTATTTTAACAAGATTACATTATCTAAAAAAAAAGCCTTTGGTTTTATTTTTCAGCTTGTTGATGTTTATACAGACTCAAAGACTCATCTCCTGAGCCACTGCACAAAGGAACAAAATGTAACTAACAAATAATCAGTGCAAATAGTTTTAATAAAGCTCAAATGGTCTTCAGTTTACACATCTGTTAGCTACATTTACACTAGTGCGTGATCGTTTTAAAACGCATAGCTCAGACAGAATCATAATTTCTATTCATTTTCCACTGATTTACTGATGAGCATTAGCAGTTTCTAGCACTGTCTGCGCCTGTGCTCTCTTCCATGATCGCTGCTCCGACTCAGAGGTAATAACACATTTAATTTCAGCAACAATACATGGCCAAAACACACACGGCAATCGGAAGTTATTACAAACACTTGATGGTGGTTTAAAGTGAGTTTTGAGTAAAAGCGGAATATTATTTATTTATTGTCTTATGCAGGAGTTAAATTGGGATTTGTTATGTGGGGGGGGCGCTCTATGGTATCGAGCTTATATATATATATATATATATATATGTGTGTGTGTGTGTGTGTGTGTGTGTTTTGTTTTTTGTGCAAATGATTTATTCTATTCCCATTTGATCTATAAATTCAATTATAATCATGTTATTATCTATACGTTATCAAATGAAATCATTACACTGAAAAATACAACTGCATTAAATAATTATTATGAGATTATTTAAAATATTTTTGAATATACAAATAAGAAATTATGGTGGAAATGATACTTTTCAACAAAATTAAAACGCCAGTAGGTGCCAGTAGTGAGCGTTTAATGAGTGAGTCATTGAGTCGTTCATTCAAACGATTCGTTCAAACGGCAGATTCATCAGATGTTTATTCATGGGCTAATGAAACTTTGACTCAACCGATTCGTTCAAAACACTGAATCAATCAGCAATGAATCGTCTGGTTGCTGTGAGATGCGCTGTTTCCACCAAAAATGTAAGTGATCTAATATTACTGTATTTGCTTATTGAAATGTTTATAGAACTATTAAACAGTGGTAATGGTGAAAACGTTGTGTGATGTTGACTAACTAACTGTATTTTAAATATAAAAACTTTCCATTTTGAATTTTTACCTCAGGATGCTGAGTTTCTTAGTGTTGCGTGTTTTGATTTCTCCTGGAGAGGCTGCGTGCGCAACCTTATACTGTCAATAGATGCATTATATACATTAGATATCCACTATTCGCCACTTACTCTAAATGTAATAAAATCAGAATAATACTTGCGTTTTGGTGTTTACATAGTTATTTTTGGTTACTGATATTTTAATCATGTTACTTGTCTGGCGTTAACGAAGCGGTAATGTCAAGCCCTGGAGTCTATTGGTGCTTTTCCACTGCGTGGTACAACTCGGCTCGGCACGGCTCAGTACGGCATGGTTCGGCTCGGTACGGTTTGGGTTTCCACTGCAGACGGCCCGGCCCAGACGGCCTGGCCCAATTTAAACCCTGGTCTTATGTAGCATGATGCTACAGTGTGCATGAATGGTCACATAACACGCGCTTTCGGTCTTGTAGTATCCCTCGCTACTCTCCATTGGAAATGAATGACTTTCGTTCTGTCATTTGTCGGAGATAGTGGAAAGCCGGCTTGAAATGCAGTGGAAATGCCAGTATGACGAGGATCGTTTTCATTTTAAAACAAAAACGCACCAGTGTAAATGTAGCCTTACAGCTACGGGGGCTGGGACGCATTCACACTAAATCCTCACGTGTGAGCCACATCTCTGAGTGTGGCGCGTGACGCGGACCAACTGTGCAGACCTATCGGTTTATTACAGTACCACGAGCAGACTGCTCCGTACATTTTCGCATCGCTCTCGCGGATGTCAAACACTGATCGATCTGCACCGCGCCGCTTCTAATCGAGCACACCTAGTGCTGCAGGTTTATTGGCTCACTGACTTGATGAGATTAACCCCTTAGATATCAAAATTTGGTACCGAACGACGAGACGTTTTTCGATACTCGATGGTATCTAGGCAAATCGGTTGGTGTCTAAAAATTGCACCGATAACCCTTTTTCCAGTACTCGCCCAATACCGATACTTTTATTTTTGGTACTTGCCGATACCGAGTACCGATACCAATATTTTCATTGCATTTGTACATTTTTTAAATATTGGGTACAGAAACCAAAAGAGTATGTATAATGTTAGTTGGTTAACTTAATTTATCAAATAGATAGTCAAACCAAAATTTATTCAGACACCTTCAACATTTCACACATTATCACAGTTTATTCGCTATAGTTTAGAAAATGGTAATAAAATATGACAAGAACTCGGAGTTAAACTGTGTCAGAACAAATTCAGCTTGATAATGTCAGATAACTTTGATAGAAAGGTATGTAACGGATTACAATACACCAAAAATTATTCATACAGCTGTCAATATTTACACAACTATCAATACTTTGTCAGGGGACCCTTAGCCTTAATGACTGCCTGTATTCTCCTGAGCATGCTGTCAACCAGGTTCATGTAAACCTGAACTTAAATTTTTTTCCCCAGACTCGGTCTGAATAATTTTTGGTCCCAAATTTGTATCAATTTTACTGGTAGTCCACTGTACAAATAATTTTTTGGTATAATATATCACAGTTCAGTTTATTTTGCTATCCTCACTTTACATAAATGAACTATAGTGTCCTACACCCACTAGTAAAAAAATATCAAAAATTATATCTGGTCTCTGATTAATTTTTGGTTTGACTGTATATCCTTCTGTTATTTTCACACTTAATTATGCCCATTAAAATGTATTTTACAAGTTTTTGTTACTTTCATTGTTAATTTTTTTCTCTCTCAATGGTAGCCTACATCATCTTTAATTTAATAGCATTAGAGCTGCTCCACTGCAGTAGCGTAGTACTGTAATCACGCGATTTGCTGTAAAAATGCAGGGAACCACTTGCTATAAATCTCCTAACTTTGATATTTTCATAAATAGAAGTCGCGTTTTTTTCATCTGAAACGTGCAGCGATTTATTTTCCAAAGCTACTCATATAATGCAGAAACACTCATGAAGCCAGCAAAACATGCGCAATGCGTGCACGTATTTGTACTGGTGCAGAATGAGAGGGACAAGTACAGTACAGCCTAGCGCATTTCACACAGGCTGTTATTATTGTTTCACTTTCGCCAGAAAGTCGTGTATGCTTAAGGGTAAAAATAAATGACGTTTATAGTGAATGTCCCTATGATTTTTCCTATATTTATGATTTCGTTTTAATTCAAATGATGCGTGCTAATTGAGTGAACATCAATAAAGATCACACAACAGAAGTGCGCGAGCTCTCTCTCTCTCCCTCCCTCCCTACCATTAATTAACTTGTGCATTGTTTTACTTACTTCTTTTTGACATATCCGACCGAACTACAAACTTTCCAGTGATGTCTGTGAGAAAGGGATATTCACTCGACAAGCTCGCGCATCTGCGCCGCCGCGCGCTCAATCCACTCAGCGTGATTTGTTTACCAGCTGGCGCAAATCATCTATACAGGCATTAATACTAAATGTTTTATATTCATTGCATACACATACTTCGTAGACATCTTTAATCTCTAATAACGCCATTCTGCTGTCTGTTGTCTGTGTTTCTTTGTCTGAATATGGCACTTATCACATGCTGTGTGGTATCGGCGTTTGGTATCGGGGCATTTTAACGAGTACAGGAGCTCAGTATCGGTGCATCCCTACTAAAAAGTATCAAACTCGATACCCAGCCCTACTCATGTCTGCTGGAAAATACAGTTTTACCCTCTGGTTATATTGTACTATTGTACACACATATTGTTAAATTAAATAATTATCAATATTAAAATGCTGGCTGATGCATAAGCTGATGATTATTTAAATGTTATGGCCGATAACTCTCAAATGCTCAATAAATTCGATACTATTTTGTCAAAAATTTTAAATACGACACTAAAAACTAAACCCAATCATTTTAAATGAACTTAGGCATCACTAAATTGTAATGTACAGTTTGTAAAATTGATATTTATTTTGAGATTCGCAAAAGATTACATTCAACAATATTATATAATTACTGTTTTGAAATATTATCTTTTTAAAAAAGTAATTTTAGATGATGGCAAAGATAAATTGCAAAAAAAGATTTTTCAAATTTAAAAGATAAATAAAACTTCTTGCAGATTATTTTTAAGATTACTAGAGTTTGTTTTTCAGTTACTACTTCAGTTTTATTACTTTAAAATTTCACATTTAATTCAATGTCACTCACCATTTCATTGTAACTAGAAATTTTGCAATATCTGAGTGAAATTATATATATATATATATATATATATACACACACACAGTATATACAATACACACATATAGACATAAAACAAAATGAAATAATTTTTACTAACAACAAAACGTATATCTAGTCTAACACAAATGGATGTGTGGAGACAATTTATGACCCACAAGCTTATTTCCATAAAATGTAATTAAAATTTAATTTCTGTTTGTTGGTCTTGTTTTTAAAAATGCAAACTGAATATTCTGCCTCTTAGTTATGATTAAATCCACCATTTTCACTTCATTTTTATTTTATTATTAATATAGCATGAGAAAAAGCCTTTAACTCATTAACAAAAGTTCATTCTGTTTGATGTAGTTAGTATCTTTCCCTTTTTGCTGCGCCACATTGGCATGTCTAATAAATGTTTTTTTGAGACTCACAATTCAAGCACATATTAATAGCACTGAGAAGGTATAGTGGCAGGCCAAGTTACGACATCACAACAGATGTACTGTAATGACACTCTCGGCTCACCTGGAGTCTGCCAAACTCACAGGCCAGGTCCAGAGGTGTCTTCTTTGCCTTGTTGACAGTACAGGGGTTGGACTGGTGTTGTAGTAGCATTTCAGACTGAGGGGGACACACAGAAACACAGAGATACCGTGAGAGGGCAGAGGAGCTGCGTCTGGCTACATAAGGTTTCTGGGATTACACAATAGAAGACAATGTCAAAAGCAATATCAGTTTTAGTCTACCCATATATGAAAAGCTGAAATAGCATGCAAAAAGGTCAAGGACTGAGAGGGAAAGACCAAAGAAATACCGTTGATTCTTTGTAAATTATTGCATTATATGGCACACATTATATCCTGCAATATGTTTTGTGAGAAAAGGTAGGATATTTGGAAAGAGAATACTCTGCATTTCAAGCCAAACAACTGGTCAATCTAACCTGGTTCTGAGAGGTATCATATACACAGCAAGGTTAACTAAAAAATGCATTGTTTTAAACAAAGCCCTGGACCTGCAAAGTAATGCTATCTTTGCTGGGGACCACTTTTCTGCCTCGAGCGTGCAACGACATGTCTTACATTTTCCTTCAGAAAACATAAAACAGTATGCATCCTTTTTATCTAGCTGCCAGAGATCTGTAAACAGCCTCAAAAGCTATATTTTGGTTTGAGTCTCAGCACATTCCTAAGTCACTATCAAAGTGCTGCATTCAGCCTATTTGCTCATTTATTTTGAACATACTACTAAGTGATATAACTAGTGATGCACTGAAACTTTGATTATAATAATCTGCCGAAAATGAATTTGCCGTTTCAGGTCAATGGCCCTTGCTTTACAATTACCTCAGGAAAGCCATTCAATGTTCATATTAGTCAGCTAGAAAAAAATAATTCTAGAGATGAGCATTTTGCTAGATTTATGCACTATATTAAAAATGTGTTATATTTTGGCTAAACCTGTTTATTAATTTTTTCATGCAAGTTTGAATCTGTCATGAAAACAAGTTATTACAGGCACCGTTTGAATTTTTATATTTCAAGAGCGAATTGGAATAGAAACAATTCTATCATTAAAAAGTTTATATTAAAAAAACTGCTTTGCAATTTAAATACAAAACTTTTTTTGATTTCGGTAAAGAAAATTATTTTGGGACATCACTAGATGCAGTATAACAAGTGCAAATCCATAGTTTGTAATAGGAATACAATATATTTGCTACATTGCTAGGGTTGGAAGATGGACATCACTAGATGCAGTATAACAAATGCAAATTCATAGTTTGTAATAGGAATACAATATATTTGCTACATTGCTATGACTGTTTTTAAAAATGTAATTATTTCAAGTCCCCACCATACTCGTCAACCAAACCAACTTTGGTACAATGGGCCATGATGTAGGTGAAAGTCTGAAACCTATTTGACTCTTGACAACATTTTCCCTTTTGTTAGGATAGACTGCCACAAATTGGTCAATAGTGGAGGAGCAGTGTGCTACATACCACCTCATAGTGTCCGTACTGTGCAGCCAGGTGGAGAGGGATCTGTCCATCTTGTGAAGCCCCATTCACAGAAGCTCCGGCTCTCAGCAGCATAAGTACAGAGTCAGCCTTCCCCTGCCAGGAAGCATAGTGCAATGGACGCATACCTACAACAGTGAGCAGAAAATCAATATTTTCACAGCTACTTGTTCTTTTAGACAGGAACAAAACTGCGCTTTCTTTCTCGGGTGGTGCAATCATTTGTTATGTTGAAATGGGAAAAATCATGACTAACTATGTTCAGTCTATGCGCAACACAATTCATGTATGTCTCTAATTGTATTGGAGTATTTGAAGTTTGAATAAATTGCTATTTGTATAAATATGTTTATAGGCTTTCAACACTTATCCAATTTGTTTTGATGGTACATTAAAGAGATCTTGACTCAAAGACTTGTTTCTGTCATAGAATACAAACTAAGATGTTTAGCAGAATGTCCAAGTTGCTCTTTCCCGTATGGTGAAAGTGGTTAGGGACAGGAACATTTGTGGTCACCATTCACAGAACGAGTTTGGAATGGCATAACACAAAGCATTTGGCAAACAGTAACTCTTCCGATGCAAGTAACAAACTGATAAATATTATATATTTTTATGCCCTGATGAGCCATACTGAATCAATATGTTATAAAAGACATTCATTGATTTTACAAACAGAACATGACAAATATGCATATCATTTAGCAGAAAAAATGATCCATCTGGTGTGGAGGAGGAAAATGTTTGGCCGGTCTGGTACTGTTTCTGTCACAGAGTTCAATTGAGCACAACACTGCGATCAGTCCTGACGGCACAGCTAGAGCGCACTGCCCAATTAGCAGATAGATCTCTGCTTTCACAGCCACTTTATGACTGGGGATGGTCCAGCTCCTAAAATATGCATGTGTTTGAGGGAACAGACGACTGAAAAATGAAGAAAAAAAATAAATTTTCAACATAATTTAAAAGGATTGAACTCAACCAATGTGGATTAGGCCTACTAAAGCTACATCTTCTCCGTATGTATATAAGTCTTGGTTTAAATAAATGTAATAAATAGTGTGCTGTTCGAGACAGATCTAGAGATATATGATATATTGAAGGGATTGTTATTGTAAGTGAAAGAGCTGAATTACAGGGTTATCATTTCTCAAATCTGTGATGACAATTATACTTAGCAGTTACTAATCTATGAGGCAATATGTGGTTGTGTAGCTGGCAAACTTTTAACAATCATCACTCAGTTCTAGGAACGGCTATTAAAATGTGTCAGTGCAGCTAATAAGTATATAATTAGCTCCCTAGATGAAGCTGACTTTTCCTTGCCGTCTCAGTTTCCGGGGATCTGGCAGAACTGTGCAAATCCCAACAAAGCACTTCTGTCTGAGATAGATAAATATATAATTTGTATTAAAAATGTATCACAGGAAGAGAATACCAAGATTTCTTTAAACATACTTGTCTCAAAGAGGAAACGTCCCAGTTTCACTAGCAGCTAGCTTTTGCTTTGTAGTGTACTGTCATTTGGTGTCAACGTGGCCAGGTTCAATGATGCTTCAACTGAAGTTGCTCAGTATTTATTTAACAGTTTGAAGGATCAGTTTAGAGAAATTCCTTTCCAGTCCATAAGTGTGACTCAACAACACAACAAAATCCCTCTGACTTGAGTTACATGATGGATGAGACATTCATGCATTTTACAGTGCACTTGTCATAGCCTCATTTTACCAAAAACACCTAAAATAAGGGAGAATCAGGGCCTAAACAGAGCACAGAGTACAGTGAACGGATTGATCAAATGAAAGAGAGGACATTACTTCTTCAGTGGTCAATATACGATGGAAATTTCAAGTGGTTTAACCCTCTATAGGACTAATTGTGAATTTACAGCGTAAAAAAATTATTGACTTTATATTTTACATACATTTAGGAGTAAAATCATTTTCCAAATTTTTTTTTTCTTCATCTGACCTTTTTTTTAGGGATCCGTCATTTATAACTGATGTTGTCCCATTAGGGTAAACTTTTTTTGGCAAATTGTCTGAAACTTCAAACACAATCAAATGCTTTTTCACTACCTGAAAAGAAGTGAAAAGGTCTTGCTCTTTTCAAAAAACATAAAAAATCTTTATGAACAAAGTTTTTTCTTGTGCTGCTATATTTTATTTGGAACTCGCACGTGAAGATGTCTAAACCTTGACACAAATTCGGATGCAATTTCACTGCCTTCATCTGACCTTTTTTTTAGGGGATCCGTCATTTATAACTGATGTTGTCCCATTAGGGTAAACTTTTTTTGGCAAATTGTCTGAAACTTCAAACACAATCAAATGCTTTTTCACTACCTGAAAAGAAGTGAAAAGGTCTTGCTCTTTTCAAAAAACATAAAAAATCTTTATGAACAAAGTTTTTTCTTGTGCTGCTATATTTTATTTGGAACTCGCACGTGAAGATGTCTAAACCTTGACACAAATTCGGATGCAATTTCACTGCCTGAAAACCATGTCTTAGGGTACTTTCACACCTGGCCTGTTGTTTCAGAACCTGGCGCGTTTCCCCCCTTAGCTCGGTTCGTTTGGGCATATGTGAACACTGCAATCGCGCTCGGATCCGCGCCAAAATAATTGGTCCGAGATCGCCTGAACGAGGTGGTCTTGGCTCGATTGAAAATGAACTCTGGACTCAAAATGATAAATTATTATGACAACAGCTACAAAAAAAACAACAACAAGCTGTTATCGTTCCATCCTGACGGATGACATGCGTGACAGCTAAGTGGAATCCCGGAAAATAAACCGTGGAACTTTGACCAATGAGAGAACAGTTTACTCGCGCATGACTTGTATTAACAAATTTGGTCCATTTAGAAACTTTGCTGTGTGAAAGCTAACCACACTAAGAATAAAAAGCAACATTGTAATCATTTTAATCCCCGTTTCGGAAAAAAGCAATTGATCTACAGGTGTGAAAGTACCCTTAGTGTTTCAAAAGCATTAAAACAACTTTAACATTGTGTTTCATCTTGGAATTTCAAATCAATTATCGTAGCACAAGTGAAAGTCAACAAGACTCTTCTTTTTCAGAGTACCCCATACAATCCACACATAAGTAGATGTTGACTTGAGCAGTCATCATTGGAGCATCGCTGTCTGTCAATAGACACTGGCATATTTCCTGACCTCTGGTTGTTGTATGGATCACATCTTTCAAACTGGCATACAATAATGTACCCAAATGCCTGACTTCCACAACGACCTATTCATCATCTGTAACGGGGCTGACGAGACGTGAGACGTCTGGATCCATCTGCAAGCTTTTATTAAAGAGACGTGGTATAAAAGCCAGGCTCGAACAATGGCAAACAGGTACAGTATATGGCGGGCAAAAACACAAGAATAGTCATAGGGCTAGTGTAGGTCACCGATCGGCAGACAGAATCACAGGGGCGAGACGAGAGGGAAAAATCCAGGAAAACAGGCAAAGATCAGAAACCGCAAAAACAGGCAAGGTAAAAGTTCCATCTCGGGAGGTTCTGCAGCCTGTGCCGCCACCTCTGAAGAAGCTACAGTGGACACCATGGCCTCTGGGAGCACAGCAGTGGACACCGCTACCTCGGGAGGTTCTGCAGCGTAAGCCGCCAACTCTGGAGATGTTGTAGCCGGTGCTGCTGCCTCTAGCAAATCGGCGGTGGAGTACGCGGCCCAGATACACCATAAAGCAACCCCCCATATGGGAAGTGCTGCAGACAGGGGAATGAGTTCATGAATAGAAGGGTTAGAGTGAGTGGGTTTGGGGATGCCAGCGGTGCGTGCAGATACCAGCGGTGCGTGCAGACACCAGCGGTGCATCCCTCGCACTGGATACCTGACTGGGATACCGAAGGGCTGACCCTGAGAATCTGGGTGTGACAGACAGGACGTGACTTGACTCTGGATGATCAGCTGTGATGCAATGTGATTCTGGATGAATAACTGAGGCGTGACGTGACTCTGGACGAACAGTTGAGACGTGACGAGACTATGGACAAACAGCTGAGACATGGCGAGACTCTAGAAAATCAGCTGTGACGTAACGAGACGCTGGCAGCTCAGTTGAGACTTGACTGGACTCATGACGATCAACTGCGACTTGACCTGACTCATGACAATCAACTGTGACTTGACTAGACTCATGAATATCAGCTGTGACTTGACTAGACTCATGAATATCAGCTGTGACTTGACTAGACTCATGAATATCAGCTGTGACTTCAATACTTTCTGAAATAAGTACAGATTTGTCTCTCCATCTTACAAAAATCTTACAAAAATTAACCTAAAACACATGCATAAAGGCTACTATACTGCCCGCCAATGCTGGTCAATAGTGCCAGCTACACAAAATATGCATCACATAATAGGACTTTGTCAGTTATGCATGACGCTCAGATTTGTTTGTCTCCGAGTTGTTGTTTTGATTAAAGTGCATTAAAAATGACAAAAAAAACACATTTGGATTTACAATTATATTTTTTATAACTTGAATTTATATGCATTTTCTAGTCTAAAATGAGCTCACTATGGAGCCTTGACAGCATGTGACCTAAACATGTGCTAATGTCTCCTTTACTACTTAGTTACCAAAAATGTGAAGCACATGGTTTATAAACTTTAATTTTACAGGTTGAAGGGGATGTCATTTGACATCACTAAAATAAAATTTTGTTGGTTGAACATTAAAGGGTCATGAAACCCCAGACTACTTTTTCTGAGATTTTAGCAGAGGTGTTTGTTGCACATTATAGAAGACAATGTTAGCATTCGATAATTTTAACTGTTTGAGAAAACTGGTTAATTTTAAACTTTTTTGCGCTATTTTCATCTTCCGGGTTTAAAATCTACATTGTGTTGACGTCACAAATTGTGACGTGGCAAAGAATGATAGTGCATCGATGATGTGTCGGTGTCTATTAAATTATTCATGAGACTGCGTGTTCTTTTCATATGAGAAGATGCTTCGCTTAATTATTCACGACAGCATGTGTTGATTTGCTATTACAGACGCTTCAGACGGTGAGACTGCGAACATTAACTGAGAGAAACGTTCATGTATGGAAGGAAGAAGAGTGTTTGTTTTTGCTTTGTAAT